CTAATATGCAATCAACACCCCCTCCTTTTATTGACCGTAAATCATCACAAAGATTTTGAAATGAATAAACGATCAGATTGAATGATTATAAATTTAATTTTGTCCTAATCGGGCCTCATTTTAGATATATTCACAGGAATTGTATTAATTAAGATTATACATTTAAAATTAAATATTGTAAATCATAAATAAATTTTTCTAGCAACAAATTAAATTTATTTTATTGAAAAATGATGATAAATTTTTAGTTGTTGATTTTTAAATGCAAAAAAATATAGAATAAACTAATTTATCCCATCCTTTTTGGTCGGTTTTTTTGGAATACTAGAATACTAGAATTCAAACTAAAAGGGGATAAATATGAAAGAAATACGCTTGAATTGATTGTTGATAATTGGAGATTTGAATTAGGGTGTTATTAGCTAAATTTATTAAACCAAATAATAATTACCTGCCTCGATAGGCGGCGATAAATTGATGGATCTCAAATTTGGGGTACATCTGTGTAAGCGTTTTGGTGTGATTGGTCTGAATAAAACAGAAAAAATAGAAATTTATCTATTTAAAAATTAATCGCTAGATAGCGACACTCCCCATCGAAAAATATCAATGCTCTATGCCCAGCTAAGCGCAATTCAGTAAACGAACTTATGAAGCCCTAAACCCTCATCAGTGAGAACGCCATTTGCCGTTGATTAATTTACAGGCTGTAAAGAACGGCAACCTTGAACTGAAAAATTTTTTCCATCTAAATTTAAAAAAAAACAATAGCTCGAAGAACATCATTATTAATACATTTTCCATAATATGGATTTCTCGTAACTAGATGCCTTTGCGGACTGCATTTACGGAAGGTAGAATGCGAGCTTGACATTTAACCTTTAAGCCAATGTTGAACCGAGTTTTTTGGTTCCATATTGCAAAATTTTGGCATTTTTTTCTTCTCTTAGACACGAGGACCTATAATTTCAAATATTTATAGGAGATATAATAAAGCTTTAAGAAAATAAAAAATTATCATACGACACTCCCAGTACTGTTTTTAGTGGTGGATTTCTTTTAAAATAGTGTCAAAGCTCATTCCTCTCAGGCTGCTAAAAATTATTTAAAATAAAAATGGAAATTTTGCTAAAAATTTTATAATTTTCCAAAATTGTTCCAAAAAATAATCTAATTTTGCTAGAAAAATTTTCTTTTTCCCATCAAAATGGAACTCAATTTTATACATATTTTGGGAATAATTTAATAATATTTCTAAAAATATATTTATGGAAATAACCATAAATAAATTTTATTAAAACAAAGGTCTTTGTTTCCATCAAAATTTTTCTTTAAAATATCGTGATTTTCATTAAATTTTATTTTAAATAGTTAAAAAAATATTTTTTTAATTCTTAAAAAAATTTTAACAATTAATTTTTTAATTCTTAAAAATACAAAAAAATATATTTAATTTTTAATTGCCTATTAAAAAATTTTATTTTTAATTATTTGAACGCAATTAATTTTTAAAAAATGTATTTAATAAAATTATTATGAGAAAATACCTCAAATACTCATCGGAAATTAAAAGAATCTTTTTTGTATCTACGTTAATATATGTTAATTTAGTGTTCAAATTATAAAATCTAAAATATATACTACTCGGAAATCTAAAAAAAACTATTTTTGTATCTAATTTATATTTAATTATAGTTACTTTAGTTAATTCATTTTACATTTTTTAACTTAAATTTTTATAATAAAAAAGCTCCTCATTCCATACTTTATCTTGGAGGGGAGCAACATTAAAAAATATTGTCATGGCTTGTAAAATACCTTCGGCAGTGTATGATGATTATAAGTATGGTTAAAGGCCCGGTTCGGTTTGATAGATCGAACCGGACATCGAATTTTGGCCAGAGCCTAACAGAGCCTATTTATATTTTATGATTACAGTAGTTAACCACCCCTCCAAGTCGTCAGGGGCAGCGGGGTCCAACCATTTAGCCCCTCCCACATATTTAAACGGTATTTAGACACACCCAATCCGTCGTCAGAGTCCAAAGATTCAATGGACACCCAAAAAATCAAAGGGTTTAAGGGGTAATATGATCAAACCGGTTTAATGGCAAAAATTGAACTTTTTTAAAGAAAAACTATCATTCGCCCTATTCTTCACCAATTTTTTTTAAAATTTTCCTAAAGCTTCAAGGTTTAAGAAGTGGGTTTGAACTGATTTAAACGGTTCAAAGAAGAATTTCGCATATTTTTTAAAAGATTACATAACCTAAAATTTAAAATGGTTCCCAAAGGTTCAAGATGTTCAGAATTTCTTTTGAACCGGTTCAAGGATGTACTCTTAAAAATTCTTAGAGAAACATCTTTCCAACCCTCTTCTCTATTTTCTAAATATCTTCTTTTATTTTTACCCTTTATTTTGAAAAATATAAAAATTATTAAAAAAGTAGGCGGTGAAAAGTGAAAATATATAATAATTATAAAAATTCATTCATGCAATAATTGTTACAAAAATTATTGTTAAATAGGTCAAAAATCTGTCATGCAAAAATTACATTGCAAAATTATATTTAGAAAGGAAAAAATGCCAAATTTATAAAATTTTCAAAAAATAGTAGTTAAACCCTCCTCATATTGTAACAAGACTTAAGTCAAACAAAAGTTCGCTTTAACCAAAAGGTTTAAACCAAACGGTTTAAGGGTACTTTGATCAAACCTGTTTAAGAATAAATTGAACTTTTTAAAGAAATCACCTTACTTTTCACAAGATTACATATACAAACGGCTTCCAAAGGTTTAAGGGTTCAACAAGTGGTTTTGAATCGATTTATCCGTTTAAAACACGATTTTCACAAGATTACATAACCATAAGTTTATAATGTTTCCCAAAAGTTCAAGAGTTTAAGAAGTAATTTTAAACCAGTTTAACCGGTTTTTCCTACATCAAAACCTCTCATATCAAACTTCACCTCTCATATCAAATCTCAAACATTAAACAGCTCTACATACTTTTTAAAATTTATATTACATTTAAATCCGTCTTATCTTGATCTAACCCTTTCTCTTTATTTTAATCCATTCTTGAAAAATACAATAATTATTATAAAAAGTGGAAATTTGTTAAAATCAGTCATGCGCAAGAAAAATGGTGAAATTTAGTAAATAGATATTGAAAAGTAAAAATTGGGTAAATTATTAAAAAAAGTAAGTAAAAATAAAAGTTAAAAAGTGAAAATATGTCACAAAATACGTCATGTGAAAATTGTTTCAAAAAAATGATTAAAAAGTAGGCGTGGAAAAGTGAAAATAGAAAAACTGTCAAATAAAAATGACATTTATAAATCCAAGTTTTTGAAAAATTTCCTCATTCTTTGAATAATTTAAAAATATTGATATTACTTTACTAACCTTAAATGTCTCCTCCACCTCTAAAGAGATCGAGGATGTTCCTCATTGACAACCTATTGCAAAAGGGTGGAGGTGATTATGTTAAACAACTCGGTGAGGAAACTAAACTCACTAAGAAATTCAACATGACCAAACTGACTACAAAATTTCTAATTAATAAACTACCTCCAAGCCCCGAAAGCCTACTCCAGGAAATATTCCAAACCTGTATCGACAAAACAATATCTACAAGCCGCGAACACCAACTTGAACCTGATCAACTAGGATGTATTGTCAGCAGTCAGCTGCTCGAAACTGACATTTGGATTCCCATTAGAGACATCACCAACAACACCATCGACGCCATACTTAATCAATTCTTGAAAGTCGCCCAATCCAAAAAGCAAGATAATGGTATGCTTTGGGGCGAACCATTTACAGTCTCCGTTACTACCATTGACAAGCAGAATATCCCTAGAATACGCGTCATCAGCGGAAGCGGTGGGAAATCTACTCGTAGGATAAATGATAAAAACCTCATCAAAATACGCAATACCGACAACCTATGTTTGTTTTATGCATTAATGGCTTCATACGTCTACTCAATATTTTCCTGGCCAAAATGGAAGTTCTATGATTATATGCATAGCAGAAGAGGTATGACTCATCAACTCGAACAAGATACCAAAAAACTATTGAGAGATGTTGGAGCTCCTCTTGATCAGCCAAGCTATGATGCGCAGAACTGGGTTCCCAAAGTGGTCAATTATTGGAATACATTGAACATAGGCCTGTTTAAAGTTTATATCTTTGGTGAATTTGCCGAAGAACCTATCTTCAAATATGGACAGGAAAAGTTTGATACCCCAATTATTCTTTATCACCACAATCAACATTTCGACGGTGTGCGAAGGGCATCTGATTTGTTTGGTGAAGCTTATTGCCTTTTTTGTGAAAAAACGTACAATCGTCCAAAAGATCATGCCACTTCATGCAAAGTTAAATGTCAAAACTGCTCCAGGATCGGTCCAAAGTTCCCATGCCAGCCTCTGAACAACTTTTTCAAACACTGCTCTGGATGTGACAAAGAATTTAAAAACGAGGACTGCTACAACCATCATCTATTCTCAAACTTCTGCGACAATTCTAAAAAATGTGAAAAATGTGGAGTGGTATGGTTTGTCAAAGATAACAACCGAAATGGTAGAAGTGGTCATGTTTGTTCCGAACGCTACTGTAACACCTGCTTCAGCTTTCATGATCCAAAAAGAGGATGTTATATCAAACCTCTTGCTACAAGGAAGCCGAAACCTTACCGCATCATCGCTTTCGACTTTGAAACTATGCAACACCAACAAGGGCAAAATGGAAAACTCCACGAAGTCAACTTTATTTGTGCTAAAATTAACTGCCCCGAGTGTATTGCTAATTGTTCGGACGTTTGTACTGTTTGCGGAGAGGATCGAACTATAACATTCTCCCACCAACCCTTTTGCAACACTCAAGTGGATCAACAAAATGTAACTACCGACCCTCTAACTGATTTTGCTTCATGGATCACCAACACTTCAACCGACACAGTAGCCTTCTCTCATTTTGGTGGAAGGTTCGACATGGTACTCCTCTTCAAGGCTTTTTATCTTCAAGGCTTAATACCTGAAATGATAAAGAAGGGCAACAAGATGTATGAGATGAAGGTGAAGAATTCTAAAAAATGCTGGATAATCTTCCACGACACCTACAATCTTATGCCAATGCCTCTTGCTTCACTTGTGCCTGCTTTTGCTCTACAAGTCGAAGACAAGCCCTTCTTCCCACACTTGGCCAACAATCCAAATAATTATGGAAAAGAGGTCTTCCCAACAAAAGAAGACTATCTCGCCAACACTATGATGCCTGAGAAGCGTGCCCAATTTGACAAATGGTATGATCAACATAAGGATGAGCCTTTCCTTTTGGATGAACAACTGGCAGCGTATTGTACCAACGACGTGGAGATCCTGATGGCTGCGCTCATTGCATTCCGTAACGAATTTTTGGAGGTCTCCAACGGCCTGGATGTTCTTCGGGAAGCTATGACAATTGCTTCTGCCTGCATGAAGCACTTCAGAATGAATCATCTCAAGGCAAACCATGTTGGGATTGTTCCGGAAAAAGGATACGACAATGCGGACAACCAAAGTAAGATGGCCCTCAAGTTCCTCAAATGGTATGGCGAGAAGAACAACGTTGAAGTGAGGACTGCCCACTCGAAGAATGGTGAAAAAAGGATGGGCAACTATAGACTGGATGGATGGGTCGAGAAAAAGAAGTTGGCAATTGAAGTCAACGGCTGCTGCTGGCATGGATGCCCCAAATGCTACCCGGACGATGACTTGAAACTCCCCATTGGACTTACAGCTGGAAAGCAAAGAGAGAAAGACAAACAACGTCTGAACTTTATCAAGAATTTGGGAGTGGATGTGGAGATCTACTGGGAGTGTGAAATACGAGTTATGTTATCAAAGGACTATGATATGAGGAAGATGTTTAAAAAATACCTGGATGACGGACCCATCAACATTAGAGAAGCCTTCTATGGTGGCAGAACTGGCCCTCTCAAACTCTTTCATTCTGCAGAGCAAGGAGAAAAAATCTCCTACTACGACGTGACTTCCCTCTACCCGTTTATCAATGTTTCGACTCGATATCCTGTTGGACATCCAGAAGTCCATGTCATCAACAAAGATGTCAACTGGACTAAACCGGAAGACAACATTTACAACCTTTCCCTTCTAAAATTATTTGTAATTCCACCTCGAAATATTGATGTTCCAGTATTACCAATGAAAATTGGGGAAGACGAAGACGAAAGACTACTATTTCCCCTGTGTTCTACTTGTGCCAAAGAGCACCCAAAAGGGGACGTCAACGAAAACTACTGTTGTCCCCATTCAGACCAACAAAGAGGGTGGGTCAGCACATGCACATCTATTGAATTGAATGAAGCCCTCAAGGAGGGATATATTGTCACTAAATTATTCAGAGTATTGGAATACAAAAGCTACGACGACAAACTGTTTACCCCATACATCAGTGAATTTATGGCGCAAAAAATTCACTCGTCTGGGTTTGACAACTCAATTAAAGGAGATAAAGAGAAAGAAGATAAATTTATGAAGGAATGTATGGAATTGTTTGGGATTAAAATTGAAAGGGAGAAGATGGTGGTCAACAAAGGGAAAAGGACACAAGCGAAATTGTGTCTAAACAACTTATGGGGAAGATTTTCCCTTCGTAACTTTGGCCTCTCTCAGTGCAAAATTTCCAATGACCCAAGCGAATACGTGAAAATGAGCGACGACCCATCAATTACTATTAACCATTGTCATGAATTGACTGAGGATGGTACTGTTCTAATCGACTACACCAAAAAGAAGGATTGGGTGGAAGAACATGACTCATCAAATGTCATCATCTCGCTCTGGACCACCTCAGCAGCGAGAATCCACCTTCTACATGCCATGCAAAAAGTTGTAAGAAGTCCTGGTTGCGAGCTCCTTTACACTGACACCGACTCATTAATCTTCAAACACCCAGACAACAATTGTCCTCTTCAATTAGGGCCTCATCTGGGACAGTTTACTGATGAGTACCCCGATTTCAACATCTTGGAATATTGCTCTGGAGGTGCAAAACAATATGGTTTGAAAATTCAAAAGAAGGCCGCTACACTCAACTCAACTGACTATGTTCTCAAAGTCCGTGGAATGACTCTCAACTGGGATGTGATCAACAACCAAGGATTGTGCTATGAAAACTTCAAGAAGCAAGTTTTTGATTTTACAAAAGATGAATATGAACCAATAATGATTAATTATCCAAATTTTCTTAAACCATCTATTAAAGATGGTTCTATAATTACTCAACCTCTTTCTAAAATTTATAAGCCATATGTCGGAAAAGGCATTGTTCGCCCTTCCGATTTTGTTGTATTAAATTTTGGTCACATTAATAATTAATTATCTTGTTGTAATTTCTTCATGAGTTGGAAAGTAGCCAGGGGTATGGGCACCCAGACTCTATACCAACTATCGAATGTTGTGAGGTAATCCTCACATGTAAAATCGGTGGTAGCGGACTTAAGTAAATTCTCACTTCCCTGGTTGAGTTTGGGCATGCCTGTCAAATGGCGAAGCCACACTCTTATCTTTTCTATTTCTTTATTCTTATCTATTTTCAATAAAAATTTTACATATTCTTAATAAATAATTTTCACAATATTATTGTATTAATTTTATTCGTGATAAAATTTTAAAGATACAATTTGCAAAAATTATTCAATAGGAGTCACAAGTTTTAGGGGTAAAAATGCATAATTAGTAAAACAAAGATACAATTTAAAAAAAATATTAAAAAATTAAGAAAAGAAAGACATAGTTTTTAGAGGTAATTTTACAGAATTAGTGAGACAAAGTAGTAAATTTCAGAATTTTATAAAAGGAGGTGTTCTTTTTAGGGGGAAAATTACAAAATTAAGAAAACGAAGATAAAATTTATCAATTTTCATCTTTTTGAGTGTGCATGCGAGGGCGTGCATATGTAGAGGGGTGTGTTGCGAGTGAGTGGCGTGTGGGTGTGTTAAGGATGTGTTGTCGACAAGAAGTTATTACTTATTGTGAAGACTTGATAACATAGAAAATATTTCTTTTCGATTATTGTTTGAAGCCTAGCAACAACAATACTATTGATTCCTTCTAGATGCCTTATTAATGTCTTATGTAAATTGAAACACAAGAATAATCATTAATTTTAATATTTGATAGATATATTACACATTGTTAAGGGATGTTCTTTTAGGAAGACCCTTCACATTTACTCCTGTGACTTTCACAGTAAAAGGTTCACCCCTCACTAAATACGCTTTTCTTATGATTCTATATAGAATGTCGTCCAAAGTATTATTATTAGACATTTCACATATTGGACTACATACATCATCATAAAATAGATCGCAACTCACAATACAACCTAAACTATCAGGCTCAATTTCGTTTTTAATACCTTCTCCAATTGTTTTTTCTATACAATTCTGGATAATTATTCTCATAATGTTTTCAATGTCAGAAAAGTCACTAATTATAACATACTCAAATATTCCTTTAGTTAGATGGAATTTTGTATTAGTTTTAAAGTGTTCGTGTATTTTAATAATTTTCTGATCTTCAATTAGTTTATCTAAGCTCATTATAGAAATATAATTTAGTGAGAATGAATATATTATACATAAAAAATTTTTGTTATAAAGAACTCTCTTCACACAGATGTAGCACGAGGTGTAAAGTAGTACCAGAGATGTGAAGTAGTACCATCAAACCTTAGATAAACTAGTTAAATTGGAAGTTGTTACAAAAACGTACTTTTTGTTGTGTGTACGTTCCAATGTTGCATTATTCTCTTTGAATAGTGAAATGACTAAACCAAAAATTTACTGAATCGAAATTCTCTTTCAAATATTTCACTTTTTATTTTCTTCTTGGCTAGTAGACATGTGATAAAATTTTAAATACAAATGAAAATTTAATAAAGAGGAGTTTGAACATTTAGAGGTAAAAATACAGAATTAGTAATTCAAAGATACAATTTTTAAATATTAAAAAATTATTAGAAGGAAGACATAGTTTTTAGGGGTAAAATTACATAATTAGTTACTCAAATTAGTAGATTTCAGAATTAAGGAAAAGGAGTTGTTGTTCTTAGGGTAGAATTACATTCTTAAGGAAAATAAGATGAAAATTGTCAATTTTCATCGTTTTCAGTAGGTAATGACTGTGCGTGTGTTCAGTGTGCGCATGTGTGTTGAGGGTGTGTGTTTTAAGTACACATGTTTCGGAATATTTCTATATTTACAATATTTGCACATATTTTTACAATCGTCTTCGATAAATGATTACCGGTCTTTTCTCTAACTGTCTATTCATGCTGTTCCACTAAATGATTACCCGGCTTTTCTTTAACTATCTATTCAGGCTGTTCCACTAAGATATTACCGGGCTGCTACGATGCGTAATATTTCAGACTGCCATATTTATTGTGTTGTTATAAATTTCATACATTCCTGTGAATATACAGGCTGAGCAAGGAATTTACAAGGATACCTTCCAGAATGAAAAATAGATACCTTCCACAATGACAAATAGATTGCTTATCAATTTTATTTAGTTAAAACTGTTCATCACACCTTGTTTCTATAATTTATTACCCAGACAATTCATTTAATTACCTATTTATGCTTTAAGTTATTACCTGAGTGTTATCTATGTGATGACCCACACTATTCCTTGTGAGTACTCTGTCTGCCAATATGAGTTATGTTTTATAGAATTTTAGAAAAATATTCAATTATGAAAAAATGAGGAAAATGTTCAACACATTCTTAAAACATTCTTAAAACGTTTTAAACATTTTCCTCATTTTTTCATAATTGAATATTTTTCTAAAATTCTATAAAACATAACTCATATTGGCAGACAGAGTACTCACAAGGAATAGTGTGGGTCATCACATAGATAACACTCAGGTAATAACTTAAAGCATAAATAGGTAATTAAATGAATTGTCTGGGTAATAAATTATAGAAACAAGGTGTGATGAACAGTTTTAACTAAATAAAATTGATAAGCAATCTATTTGTCATTGTGGAAGGTATCTATTTTTC